GTATCTCCAACCTTGAAGCACAAATGGGAGATATAGTTAAATCAATAAGCAAGTTGGAGTCCCATGGAAAACAAACTTCTCAAACCAAAAAGAGCCCAAATGTCAATGTAGTGACTTTGAGAAGTGGTAAAAAATCGGAGAGAGTAGTTCCAAGAAGAAGCCAAGGGAAGATAACGAAAAAATAAAGATCACCCCCATTGAGGATCCTATTATCGAGATTGATGCACAAGCCAAATTTCCAAAGAAGACTATTCCACTAGTGACACCAAGAGCCACTCAACCGTCATTCCCCTCCCGACTTGCATCCTCCAAGAAGAATGCGCTGGAGAAAGAGATTTTGGACACCTTCCGAAAGGTGGAAATAAACATGCCTTTACTTGTTGCAATCAAACAAATTCTTAGATATGCAAAATTCTTGAAAGAGATTTATACCAAAAAGAGAAAAATGAAGGAAATGAGAAAATTTCAATGAATGAAAACATATATGTGGTTTTACAATGGAAACTTCCACCTAAGTGTAAAGGTACCGGAATGTTCACGGTTCCTTGCGAGATAGGGGATGTCACTTTTAGTAGTGTTATACTCAATCTCGGTGCTTCTATTAATGTCATGCCCTATTCGGTGTATGAATCATTTAATGGCGGACCTTTAAGTGAAACTGGTGTCATAATTTCACTTGCGGAAAAATCAAGTGTCTTTCCTAGAGGTGTTTTTGAAGATGTTTTGGTGCAAGTGAACCAATTGGCCTTCCCGGTGGACTTCTATGTGATTGATTTAGAAGAAAAAATGTCCTCCAAGTTGGCTCTAAATTTACTTGGGAGACCATTAAGATGGCTAGGACGAAAATCAATGTGTATGCGGGAAGTTTAATAATGGAGTTTGATGGTGAAACAATAAGTTTTAATATCTACGATGCTATAAGATATCCTAGTGATGTTTCATCATTGTATTTTCTTGATGTTGTTGAATCACTAACCCAAGAATTGTTTAATTTGTCCAATGGTGATATGTTGGAGATGATTCTAAGCAAGGGGTTTGATTGTGGGAAACTAGCCGAGAAATTGAAGATTTATTCTTTAGATCAGGAAGTTGAGAAGTTGTTAAACAATTTAGAGATGAAGAAATCTACAAGATTTGATGTTAAGCAATTTGAGTTTCCTCCAACCCATACAAAGTTGCCGCCATCAATTATTCAACAACCGAAATTAGAATTGAAAGTCCTACCTCAACACTTGAAGTATGCCTACTTGGGAAAGAATGAAACTCTTATGGTTATCATTTCAACTCACTTAACCAGATTTGAAGAAGAGAAACTCCTCAAGTTGTTGAAAGAACACAAAGAAGCTATGGGTTGGAAAATTGTGGATATAAAAGGATTGAGCCCCCCTACTTGTATGCACAAGATTTTGATGGAAGATGAATGCAAGTCAAGACAAGATGCGCAAAGAAGATTAAATCCGCCTATGATGGAAGTTGTGAAGACAGATATATTGAAGCTTCTTGATGCGAGGATGATTTATCCAATCTCGGATAGTAAGTGGGTGAGCTTGGAGCAAGTAGTGCCGAAGAAGACGTAGATCATGGTGGTCGAAAACAACAAAGGTATGATGGTCCCCACCCGCGTGTAAATAGCGTGGAGAGTATGTATTAACTACCACAAACTCAATGCAAGCACAAGAAAAGATTATTTTCCATTACATTTCATTGATCAAATGTTATAAAAGTTGGCCGAAAAGTCTCATTATTGTTGTCTAGATGGGTATTCTGGTTTTCACCAAATCCCAGTGGTACCGGAAGACCAAGAAAAGACAACCCATACTTGTCCATTCGGCACTTTCGTATACTGGAGAATGCCATCTTGATTGTGTAATTCTCCAGCCACTTTCCAACATTGTATGGTTAGTATCTTCTTGGAATATGTTGAGAACATAATTGAAGTTTTTATGGATGATTTTACGGTATATGGAAACTTGTTTCAAGAATGTTTGACCAATCTCACCAAAATTTTGAAAAGATGCATTGAAATGAATTTGATTTTAAATTTTGAAAAATGTCATTTTATGGTGAGTCGAGGTCTTATTTTCGGTCACATTGTGTCAAAGAAAGGCATCGATGTAGATAAGGCTAAAATTGATGTTATTCAAAGCTTACCTTACCCGACTTGTGTTTAGGAAGTTTGTTCTTTTTAGGTAATGTCGGATTCTACCGAAGGTTCATCAAAGACTTTTCGAAGATAACAAGACCAATGTGCCAACTCTTTCAAAAGGATGTTGATTTTGAGTTCAATGAGGCATGTAAAGAAGCTTTTGACAAGCTCAAAGAGTTTCTTACATCTTCCCCATCATACAAGCACCAAATTGGGATCTCCCCTTTGAGATCATGTGTGATGCAAGCAACTATGCTATAGGCTCCGTTTTAGGACAAAAGAATAGAAGAGCCTCCCATATGATCTACTATGCATCAAGGACACTAGACAATTCTCAAAGCAACTACTCTACCACGGAGAAAGAGCTATTGGCTATAGTGTTCACTTTGGAGAAGTTTAGGCAATATCTACTTGGCACCAAAGTTATAGTGTATTCGGATCATGTGGCTCTCAAGTACTTTATGACAAAGAAAGTTGAAAATCCAAGACTCATGTGGTGGATCTTACTATTGCAAGAATTTGATTTGGAAATTTGGGACAAGAGTGGATGCGAGAATCTTCTTGTCGGTCATCTAAGCCAGATCACTTCAAATGAGACTCCTCTCTCATTGTGGGACGAGTTTCCGAATAAGCATCTCTTTTCCCTTACTTAATCTACTCCTTGGTATGTCGATATCATTATCTTTTTGGTCACGAAAAGGTATCCCGACACATTCACGCGTGTTTAAAAAGATAAATTGAAAAGTGATGCAAAATACTATGATTAGGATGAACCTTATTTGTGGAAACATTGTCCCGATCAAATTATTAGGCGATGTGTACCCCCACAAAAGCATCAATCCATTTGCAATTTTGTAATGAATTTTCTTGTGGGGCACCCTTCGGACCTAAGCAAACTTTGAGAAAGGTTCTTGAGTGTGGACTATTTTGGCTAACCATGTCATGCGATTGTTATTTGTTTTGTAAAAGTTGTGAACAGTACTAAACGATGGGGAACATTTCACAAAAGAACCAAATGCCACAAAATCCAATCCTTGTTTGTGAATTTTTTTGATGTATGGGGGATTGATTTCATGGGCCCATTTTCCGTCTTATTTGGCAATGTTTACATTTTGCTTGCGGTTGACTATGTCACTAAATGGGTTGAGGCAAAAGCCACAAGATCGGATTACGTCAAAACGGTTATCGAGTTTTTAAAATCTAATATTTTTTTGAGATTTGGTGTGCCTAGGGGATTGATTAGTGAAAGAGGTATGCATTTTTGCAACAAGATGATGGAGGCTTTATTGAGGAATTAAAACATGACCCACTGTGTCTCTACTACTTACTATCCTCAAACAAATGGTCAAGAGGAGGTTTCAAATCGTGAAGTGAAGTCTATCCTCAAAAAACAATGAACCCGACAAGAAAAGATTGGAGTTGAAGGCTTGAAGATGTCTTGTGGGCCTACCAGACCGCTTACAAAACCCTGATAGGCATATCTACATTTAGGTTGGTCTTTGGAAAACCATGTCATCTTCCTGTAGAATTGGAGCACCGCGCATTTTGGGCAGTCAAGCAATGCCACTTCAACATTGATAAAGTGGGAAGAAATAGGAAACTTCGACTTCAAGAGTTAGAAGAATTGAGAAATGACTCTTATGAAAACTCAAGAATTTACAAGTAGAAAACGAAGCTTTTCCATGACAAGTCCATCACCCGGAAGCATTTTAAACCGGGACATAGGGTCTTACTTTACCATTCACGATTGAATTTATTCCCAGGAAAGTTAAGGTCAACGTGGACTAGGCCTTTTGTTGTGATCAATACCTTTGACTATGGAGCAGTAGAAGATCAAAGTGAATAGACAAGACAAATTTTCAAGGTCAATGGGCATCGTTTGAATCCATTCTATGAAGGTTTCAATGCAAATGCTCTTGAAATCATCCACTTTGATGTCCCGATGTGTTGAAACAAGCGAGGAGGACATCTCGCCAAGGACTTTAAAGAAGGCCATTTTTGGAAAGCATTGTGCTTTTATCTTTTCCAAATCCAATAAATTATTTTAGAAACCGATTTTTAAGTTTGTTGACCAACTTTGACCTGCTTTTGACTAAAGTTGACTGAGGATTATGTGCAACCCTTCTTATTCTCTACACTATCGGTTCTTCTTCTTCTTCCCTAAGCCTCCTTTTCTCTCTCTCTCTCTCTCTCTCTCTCTCTCTCTCTTTCTCTCTCTCTCTCTCTCTCTCTCAAGAACACCCACTTCCATTGAAGCCCTACACAAAAACTTGAGTTCCCATAGTTCTACCGATCGTAATCCCACTAGACCACCGCCATTCTTCACAATTTCCCCCCTCTACAAACCCCACCTAAAAGTTTCCCCGATCTATTGTTGGAATTCTGGGCGCTGCCACCACACTCCACCGCCTTCATTCACGTTTTCCGACCAACTCTGACCACCTTTGGAACTTTTGAGCACAACATTTTGTTCCACTTCCCAAGGGCTTTCCAACCATACCACTCTTCACTCGAAAGCCCACTAAAAATTTTCACCGGATTTTAAGTGTCGCCACTCTAGTCGCCGGAAAATCTATTTGAAGCACGTTTTTGGGGTCATTCTAGCAATTCAGACTAAACACAAAGCAAAAACATAAGCTTGGGGTGTGTCTTGGATAATCTCACTAGTGGTTCTAATTCCGCTTCTACAATTTGTTCCGGTTATGAACAAAATGGGTACACTCGTTCCTTTAACTTGATTATTTGCATATTCGATACCCGTTTGTTGTTGGAATTGTGTTGATGTCCGCGTGGTTTTTAGGGTGATTTCAGAGTCATTATTATCAAACTTTTATCCCGATTCAAATGTCTAAGCATGCAAAAGCGGGTACCAGACCTAGTTCATCTAAGGGTGGGTCAAAAGGTAAATCCAAGGACACCCCTGTTTTGTTTGCTAGATCGTGAAAACCACAGGGTTTATGAATTCTTCACTTCGAACAAATGCCAAATCAAATCAACAAAATTCCTTCATAGAGAATCTTTTGTATCTCTCGGAGTGCTCGAAGGGGTTCAAGCACTATTTGACAACATCAGATGGGGCCAATTCATTCATAATCATGCGGCAACTTACATTGAACCAACCCTAGAATTACTTTCCACATTCAAGCCTTATGATGAATCGAGAGTCGTAACTTTTCAAATGTTAGGAGAAAATCGGACATTTCCATATCGGGTTGTGAACTCTCTAATGGGTACCCCGGTGGACCATACGTATGCCCATCAAGATCCTTGGCCCGAAGCATTTAATGAGCACTACTTTTGGCGAAAAATTACCCATGAACCACGGTATTCATTGTCTTCATCCAAGGATTCCTCAATTATTCATCCATGCTTGCGTCTAGCCCACTGAGTCCCTGTATGCACCATTTTCGCCTGCTCAGAAGTGGCTCCATTCTCTAAATCTGAATTATTTTTTCTTTGGTGCATGACTCGTGAAAATGGTCACCATCCGGATTTTGCATCATTATTCTTCAATAAATGTTACAATCTCACTACAATGGACTCGGGAAACATTTTTATTGGAGGCTTGATCACACTCCTTGCATCTCAGCATCCACTTCAACTTCATCTTTCTACCCATCCATTTGAAAAAGCATCCGACCCCTCTCGTATTGACATCAATGCACTCTGAAGAATGTTAATCATCCGTGACTCGATCGATGGTCACATATGGAATCTTGATGGTAAACCATACCTCATTCTCCCTCATGAGTATATCGGGTCACTCGAACCAAACGACCCCGAGCAATGGGTCATTCCATTCGATTACCCTCCACCTATTGATCAAGCTGATGACCATTTTCAGCCTCCTCCATAACATTTTGACTAGCCCCAGTATCCGACACATCAACAGGGGGACACGAGATCGGATCATATTTCCCTTTACATTCTTTGACCAGTTCACCATGATGTTCTCCACTATTCAGCACATTAACACTCAGACAAGAGAACACTCGAGCCGTTCAGGATGTGGTGACCCATGTTTATAGGCTGGAGTAGTCATTCCCACCTACTTCCTGTTAGGTCTAGGACATGTGGGACTACCATTAACACCACAGACACTTTCCGCTGCCCGACCCTCCGATTTAGGTCATTTTCGTCCTTTCCTTAAGCATTGAGGACAATGCTTGTTCTTAGACTTGTGGTAGGGCATTTCGCTTTCTTCTTTACCTTTTCATGCATTTTTTAGTTAGGTTGCATATCATATTAGTTTAAGCTAATTTGCATTCATTTTTTTATATAAAATTCCATAAAGATTTTATTTCTTCTTTTCCACTTTTTATTTTTCATAACATTTAGCTTAGGGAATTAGCATTCATGCATTTTTATTGTCTATTTATTCTCACCCCCTCCCCCCCTTGGATGCCATGGAACAGGTTCATAGTTATTGTATCACTATCGGTCCATGATCTTGTTGTTATCTCACACCTTGAACCAGGACCATTAGCCATAGCTTGGGACTTCATACGTGGGATCAACTGTTGGAGCTTAAAGGGGTAAGTGATCATGGTCAGTTAGTTTTCATGAAGAATTATGCATGCAATACTAACAACTGTAGGATATACTATAGCAATGGATGTGTTTTGCCTTGCGGTCCATACCGCCGAGAGGATCACACTTGATCATGTTTGAATCGTTAGGATGAAGCACTGGTGCTTGTCCCCGAGTAGAATCTATATCCGGTCAATTTACATCACCATTTTTTTAGTTTCCTTAGGATTTTAGAGAGTCTTTTAGCCCACATATGGTCATTTTCATTATTATTGGAAAACCACAAGTTTGAAAAGGATCTTACATCATTATGTTCCTCACATAGTCATTTTCACACTTAGACCATTCAGATTATTATTATCATTACCCTTCGGTTCCACTTACATACTTTTGGGAACATAATTTCAAGTCAAAAAAGTTTTATTGTTAAAAGTTTCAATATGAAGTACATTACTTTCAAGTTTCATTAAAAAAATTTAAAATTAAAAATTAAAAAAATTAAAAGAAAAAAGAAAAAAGAAAAAAATATATATAAAGATAAAGCAAGCAAATTCCAAGCTGCGGTTATCTTAGATAGGTCAATTTTCCTATATTTTGGTCACCCGACGTTTGATACTCATTTATTTAGGAATGTTTTATTGTATATAGATCGAGTTGTTTTTGCAAATTGGCGATGTTAAGGAGACTGTCGAATCGGATACTACGGGAGGTTTGGGTTCCTACAACGGTGCTCAAGTGATGAAACCCAATCACACTTGAGAGTGGCCGACATATGTGAAATCACACAACTTTCGTGATAAGAGTGTACACTTAAAAAAAGAGCTTCATACGAGCCCGTCCAACTGCTTTCTCCCTAGTACAAATGTTCTTCATTGTATGCATGTTCTATTAGGGCTGCGACTGTCCATCCTTCCTTACTCACCTATAGGAGTTGTTCTGGCTGTGGTTTATGGTTCCATTTTCATCAGATGAAAAACTCATGAGATAATAACAAGATCAATTCTGACCATATTGACTAACGGTGATCAAGTTCTGTGGTTCTCTCCATTCTTTTTAGGATAGTTCATCTCGAGTTCATTTTAGTCTTGTCTTACTTGAGGACAAGTAAGGTTTAAGCTTGGGGTGATTTGATAGTTTCATTTTATTTACTTCTTTTTATAGTTTATTTTATTATATTTCATTCATAATTTAGTTAATTTCCATGCATATTTTCCTTTTTGTTATATTATAACCATTTCGGGTACTTTCTAGTTTTCTGAGTATAATTGTAGATTTTAAGGAGACTAGCGGAGCGGGATCCTTGGGAAGCAATTGGACTTGGAGGACAACAAGGATTTTGGGATTGATAGCTATGGAGATGATGCATGGAATGGGCTCATTGATTATTTGAACGCTTGGAGGAAACGAACATTAAATTTGCAAGAAGTGGAAGGAATATTCGAGCGTGTGGAGACTATTAATCGGGAGAGTTCACGAGCTATGGGTGATTTGGAGAAGCCAAATTGGGCTTAAAATGAAGAAAACTTGAAGAAAAATGGGCTAGAAGCTAATCAGACTCGAACTGGGCTAAATGGGTTAAGCTGTGGAAGCCCAACAAATAAAGAAGACCTAATATCTATCAGTTCGTGCGGCCCGCATGGATTCGTGCAGGGGCAATTTCAAAATTCAATTGAGAGTCTATATGGGGAAGGTTTGTCACACCCTGAAAACCGAAGGCGGAAACATTTCCGGGGTTGACTCCACGTTGAGTATCAAATCCAATGCACATAGTAAGTAAAGTAGAACAACCATTACATTACATATAGAAAAGTTTTACATTTGTTTCAAAAGTAAAGTTATACAGTTGTGATACATAGTATATAATAACAAAACGAACTGGCCTTCTGCGCACTCCAACCTAGAACAAAATGATCTTCGGGTACCTGTTCTAATGCTGACCTGAGAACACAAGCGGTTTGAAAATCAGCATGACGCTGGTGAGTTCATAAGCAGTTTTTGTTTTGTGAAAATGTTCGAGTTTCCTTTCTGCTTTTGAAAATGTTACACACACCAAGAAAATCCCATATTTTCTTTAAAAGGTTGGTTTTTGTTCTCAACATGTAAAGTAAAGTTGTACACTGAAAACACGTTTACTCTTGTGAAAATGTACAGTTATGTTATCTGGTTTGTTATACGGTTCTGGTTACGTACCAATGTATCTCCAGGAAAGTCCCATACTTTCTTGATTGTGTTTTACCAATTGTAAAAGATATAAAGTTACACTTTTCTAGTTATGTAAACGTTCCCCAGGAAAGCCCCATGCTTTCCTGAATGTTGGTTATCAATGTAAAAGATGTATTCTGAAACCTGGTTATCTTGTAAAATGTTTTAAGTTATTCATTATTACTGTTAAGTAAATCTCTGTTACCCTAATTGCGAGTTCCATAACCATACGATAGACTAAAAATGGCAATAAGTAGTCCACATCACCTTATAACTTTCGTCACCCTTGAACCATTTCGGTTCGGCTGTAGCTAGCAGCCAGGTGTGGGGTAGTCAGCCCCGTATAGATCTATACACTCAAGTCACGCTCTCCAATCCTAGAGATTCTGGTTACGGGTGCAGTCCTCCACTCGCGTATCTCTGTGGAGTGTTCACCGAGGACATGTCTCCAATCATACAGGACTAACAAATTTACTAGTAATAATATGATAATCCTCCACTCGCGTATCTCTGTGGAGTGTTACCGAGGATATACAGTGTACAAGTTTTATGTTTCAAATGATCTAATGTCATGCTTTTGAACTGATAAAATGTGGAAATCATTGGTGAAATATATAAAACACAACAGTTTATAAACCCATTTCACAAACATAAGTTTACTTGATCTGCATGTTCAAACGGTTATCAGTTGTATCAATCAGTGTTAAAAGCATATAATATGTGAAACACACACACGAAAACAAGTTTTGAGTACAAGTAATCCCTTGTACTTTGCTTGTGTTCCCCCCTAAAAACAGTGAAAAAAACAGAGAAAGAAAAAGTAGGGGTATGAACTCACCTGATGAGGAATTGCGACTGTTTCGGACACTAAACGTTGGTTCGGGGCTTGATTACTCGCGATGTCCCTATGTAAAATGAAATAATGTCCGTATATATCTAATTAGATTTAAAATCACTTTAGATGGAACATTACACTCCAATGACGTTAAACACCTCAAAACGAGTGTTTGGAGTGACCCGGGTGACATCTACGAACGTGTAATGGTACGAGGGACTTGGGATTTGAGTTTACTCCCCGAGAGTAAACACTTTAGGGAGTTTACTGCCATAAAACCCATACACGCATGAGTTCACGGCCGTGAACTCATGTTTGGGTGGTTTTGAGTGTTTAGTGGCTTGTTTGGACATGGGGATTGTTGGAATGAATTTCTCAAATGCCTTGGAATGGATTAAATGGACTTATACCATATTTAAGGGAGTTCATGGCTGTAAACTTGGAGTTTATGGCCGTAAACTCTCCCATGTTCATGTATATTTATTTTATGGCACTTAGAACAATCACATGTGATTCTAGTCAATTTTCCAAGGCTTGGTATCACTTTAGGGCATCAATTAACACCTAATTAGGAGTTTACGGCCCAGGATTATGTGCTATGGCCGTAAACTCTTATATGTGGTGTTTTGTTATGTTTAAGACCCCCAAACTATTTTTAGATGGTTCTAGGATTTACCACAAGGCTATTGGTTAAGTTTCAAGGCATTCTAACATGTCTAAAGGAGTTTACTCCCCATGTTTGAGGGGTTTACATCCCAAGCACATGCCTTGTCCGTAAACTCATGTTTACCCCTCAAAATCTAATTTTAAGGTGTTTCAAGTCCAGATTTGCAAGCCTCAAGGTCGTATCTATGTCCCAACAATGATTTGGAAGGGTTAAATTGCATAAAAACCCTATTTTTATGTGTTTACGGCCCAAGCATTCTCCTTGGCTGTAAACACATGTTCTAGGTCCTAATTCATAGTTTAAACATAGATTTGAAGGTTAAAGAGGTTGAATAACAAGTTAGGAATGTTACCTCTTTGATTTGGAGCCTTAAATCTTTGTTTTGGACCTTGATTTGTTGGATGAGGAGAGAGGTTAGCGAGTGTAATGAAAGAGGGCCAAAAGCTTCAAATGGAAGCTTTGAACACTTTAAATAGTGTTTGGGAATTGGACACTGTGGAATTCTACCCGATACCGGCGTTAGACGGGGCTTTTGGTCGCACCCGACCAAGTTGTCGTAACCCGATATGGTCGATTTTAGAAATGTTTCGATCACTAGAATGGGGTGTTAGAATGATTTCTA